TAAAATAAACAAACAGAACAAATAAATAGGAAATACAGTTTCTACATTGACACAGCCGAGTGGAAGCCCAGCTATTTCTGTAATAGTTTTTTAATGATAGCACCAGGCACCGCTATTTTATTGCGCCCTGCCAGCTGCATCCTGAAGTGATGTGGGAGGGAGAGCTGCCATTGTTTTAGGGGTTGGGGGCATAAGGACACGTGTGATGCTAACACAGCCCCTGTCAGTGCGTTTCAGGAGGCTGTTCCTCTCCCCAGTGGTGTAAAAGCAGGGAGCTGCCTCGCAATCTTTACGGCTGAAATTCATCCCTCGCCGCACCTGAACTCATGCAAGGAGAATTAAAGGGAGGGGAAGGACTGGCTGCCATGCAGAGCACTGGCAGAAATGCTGCCCCAACCTGCACTCTCTGCTGTAAACCCAGAGGAAGGAGCTGCCTTGTCAACACTGCAGGAGCAAAACCCCAAAATTCAGGATCCCATCCCCTCTCTGCCAAGGCAACAGAAAGGCTCCTCATTGTGTTGCACGTTTCTACTTATCCTGCTGGTGGGGATGTACTTGTTTCAGGTATACCTGCACAGAGTGTGAGGTGGTCTCTTGGTTGGAGCAATGGGGTAGAGTGGTTAATTCCCCAATCCAATGGTCTCTTGCATGGGAAGAGATCTGCCATGTCTCCAGGTACCTGCTGCACAGTTCCTCCTTCTGGTACCAAAGCCAAGGAGAAGGAGCATGGTAGCTATGGGACTTGGCCACTAGCAGGAATATCCATTACATCCCAGCTAATCTACTGTCAGTCCCACTGCAGTAGCAAATGGTCATTGCTGCCTGAAGTCTTTGTGACCGCTGGGATCTGGGCTTGGGGCAGGTTTATCCAATGTCCACAGCAGCTCACAAAAGATTAAAAGGGGCAGACAATAGGACAGAAAAGACAGCGAGAAGCAGGAGTTTCACGTTACTCTTTTTCAGACTGTTTGGCTTCTTGGGAAGAAGCTTTTCTTGGCAATTCTGCAACCAAGTGGGAACCCTTCAGTTACACATCACCATGCAGAACTGGCTGGGGAAGGCAGACACTTGGCACTGCTAGGAACAGAACGTGAAAACATGCACTTTGCAGTGGGTTGAGGAGGTTCAGGCATTTGTTGGGACAAACACTGCACCATGGAGAACATGTAGAGCCTGCCCCTTCTTGAGTCCATTGCAAAGTGGCTTCCCTTCCTCTCCTGCTAATCACTCTTGTTGCAAAAGGACATAACTAAAAATCACGGAACTTCATCCTGAGTGAAGTCCCAACATTTTGAGTCGGATTTAGACCAAAACCAGACTGAATGGCAAAACCCTGAAGCCTCCTCTTGGAAGAAGTTCAGAAAAAAAAACACATTGATTCAGAAGCGTCATACAGAAGTCTCTCTAATTCCTAAACAGGACGTGGCATTTTGACCTGGCGATCCTGCTCCTTTCCAGCCTATGCCATAGCTGCCTCCCACATTCACCCATCTGCTTCCTCCATTATGGCTCAGCTCTGTTCACTCCAAAACACCACCTGCCAGGCACAGTGGATGATGCATCCCTCTAACCAACTGCACAGGCTTCCTGGGAAGCCCACAAGCCACCGAGACAGATGCAGAGATAAAGCTTGTCACCAAAGAGAGCATTTCATTTCATTTCCCTGGAAAGAAATTCCATGAAAATCAATCTTCCCACAGAAAATGTTGATTCTTGGCAAAACATCTTTTTGTGATCGGGAATGGCCTCAACTCAAAAAATATCTGAGCAGCCATGGTTACAAAAGAGCTACGTTTCATTCCCACTCGCATTGAGAAGGATTTTATGTGAAGGCAAGCTCAACAGCCCTTAAAGAGGTGGTAAAGTCGTGAATTTCACCATCACAAGCGCTCTTAATTATCAACAGCTCAGACCGCTTTGATTATGCCCCAAAACTCAAGCTAGGTGGTTTGGAGCAGTGTCAGACGGCCCAGCACAGGCCGTGCTTCCCACTGAAGTGGTCCTTAGCCCACAAGAGATGGGTTCACTAGAACTAACAAGCTTACACAACTCGAAAGCCTTGTCTTTCCCTGACAGCTGGAAATGACACCACAGCACATCCAACAGGCAATCCAACAGCAAAGACCTCCTGCAAGTGAAGATCAGCAAGCTGGGCAGATGAGCTCTGGAAGACCCATAGGGTTCCCAAATGGGAAACGGTGGATAAAAAACACCAATGCAAAACTAAAAGGAAGTGGGAAGACCAGGAAAAGTTAGCCAGATGGCCTCAGATGAGCAACTAAGTCACCAATTTGCTAATGAGCACTGCTCTGGGAGCAAGCGGTGGAACATCACACGGTCCAGCATTCCAGATCCTTGGATGGGAATGACTGGCAGGCACCATTACCCCACAGAGCATTGAGATCACCCTTCTGAAATTTACCCACTGAAACACTGAGTTTGTCAGCTCAATTCATCAGCTGAAATACCTCAGGCTTCTGGGAAGCTGCCTCTGGCCTACCACGTAATGGCAAGAACAACTCTGATTTTTTTTGGCATGCGGAACTAAAGCAGCTCCACCACTTTCCCAGCACCTGCCACTCACTCCTGGCTGCATTTTATCTGTGCACCATGTTGTAATTTCACTGTGGTAAGGACTAACACAACGCATTTTTGTCATAGGTAGCTAAAATGACAAACTGTGAGGACTGTTACATTTGCCATATAAATTGAATAAATTACTGTGGTTAAAAATAGTGATTTAATACCCATATTCTGTTAAGGGAAAAAAGAAAACAGGTTTGTTTGTTTGTTTTTTTTTGCAAGTGCTATTCTTTCCATGCTTCTTTTTTCAGATTCCTTGGCAAGCAGAGAAATATCCCAAAAATGAGACATTTTCTTCATTAAAATAGAATTCTCTGCAGGTTTTTGCACAACTTTGTTTCTTTCCCATTAAATTCCCTGGAAGGCTTCATAGTGACATAACTAGAGCAAAGTTTGGCCAGCACCACTCTTCCCTGAGACGTTTCACAAATCAACTTTTCCCAGTCCTCCCTCTGAATTCCCCATTCCTTTCTGAATTTCCAGCTCATCACTTGTCACTCCTTAAATATAAAGTGGGGCTGGATTTCTCACTCCAGATCCACAAGTTGCACCATTTATAAGACCAATGGGTGCGACCAATGGGTTGCACATCAAGGGTCAATGTTGAGATACGTCCTGCATCGAGACCTGCTCCTTCCACCCAAACATGCTGTAGCATTGCTGCTGTGCTCAAATAGAAATGATGTCAGGAAATAATGATAATTCACTACAGAGCAACTGCCTATGAACTAAACCATGGCAAATTCCTACCAGCATCCACTGGACTGTGGCTTTCTCCTCAAGGCTCAAGAGTTCTTCATGGCTCGTTAACCTGCTTCACATGGGAGCGATTTCACCATCTGGTGAACTCTTGCCAGATGGCAATTACCTGGGTTCACCATTTAAGATGGAAAATGCATATCACACCTGGCTATTTTCACCCACTGGTTTGCTCATTACTCTCCAGAAGCCATCAACAGTGGATTGATGAGCAAGTCCTCAAAAGGCACGGGCGAGCACATTTGCTTGTTACAGTACTGCATCCTGATTCTTCCAAGCTGCTTTCTCCCTCAAACTGCCTTTCCCACAAAGAATGGTACTGTCAAAACCCTCATTATTTTATAACTCCTATGCCCCTCTTCTCACCTTGTTAAACACTGCGGGAGCAAAGGAGTTCAGTAGCTCTACCATTTTAGCAACACCATTGATTTTGTCTCCCTCTTCATTTATTAATGGAACTACTTTCTCTCTAGTATTCCCTTTTCCCTGATATAATTGTAAGAGCTCTTTTTATTCCCCTTAAGCCTTTCTGCTCTCTGAGCTGGCCTTATCTTTTCCCTGCAAGCCATAACTGACTGTATATTCTTGTTTAGTTCTCTTCCCCTTCTCCATTTTTCACTATAGGTTCTTTCTTTACACTCCTATCTTTCACTGGTGCTTTGTTATGCCACATTGGATGCTACTTGTCCTTCCATTTATTTCAACTGGAGCTGTGGCGTGCTCAACTCTATGGGGCTATTCTGGTATTTCTGGTCTTTTCACAGCCCTCTGGATTGAACACATCTCCTGATTTAGCCCTATGAAGGTCATGGCCAGCAGTGCATGGAGGCACTGGATGAGGGCAGGCTAGGATGGAGCTATCACAACACAGCAAAATCCCACACCTTGTAACCACAGCATCACAGGCCCAACCCGCTGGTCAAAAACCCATCCTTCCAACATCTATGCTGTTAGATGAGTTATTCTTAACACCCAAATGCACAGAAGTTCCTCTTTCCCCTCCACCTGGGTATACTTCAATAACGCTAGCACCAAAATTAACATCAGGATCTAGCAGGAACTGAAACGCCTCCCCCAAATCACAAATCCTTTTCTTTCTGCTTTCATTTTAGAGTTAGATCTTGCTTCTTAATCCAAGGTTACACCATTTCCAGCAAGTAAACTCACAGTGTGGTTTCAGTTGTGAAGGAATTAGAGCCTGGAACAGTTGCAGGGAAACAAAAGATTGGATAGACTTCACTTCTGTGAAGTTTCTGATCTGGATTTTACAATGTGAGCACTGCAGTACTGGCAGGTTAGACCAAAGGATTCAGGAGCTATCTTAGTTCTAGGCAGCTCTCCAAGTCTCTTGTTGTTGTTTTTTTTTTTTTGTTGATTTTCTTTTTGTTTTGTTTTTAAGGGGAATATCTTCATTCCAAATATATAATGGTTTAAACAAAAAAAAAGAAAAAATTACTTCTTTCAGTGAATCATTACTTCACCTGGAAAAAAAACAAAGCATTTCATTTTTATAATAAGAAAACACATTGTAATGCTATAACGTGATGGAAAGCATAGCAATAACAGCACAGTAGCAAAGAGCCAGGTTACAGAAGGTGAGGATAAGCCCAAATGCAGCAACCATGGACACATAGACAAAAGAATGAAAAACCACTCACCCTCAGAAGACACCAGGTACAACAAGAATCTCCAGCAAACTTCTCTCGCCTCCACTGCCAACCCTTAAATGAGGTCTGGGAAGGGCTGGATCCTGTTCCACCCTTCCAGTCACTCAGGTACACTGCATGCACCTGAGCTCCCCTGGGTTGGCCCTGCCTTCCACCAGGTGCTCAATCACTGCTTCAGGCCGTGACTTAGCATTTCCATTATATAAATACTTCAATTCCACAAGATTTACAGTATGTTCAGATGAAGATCTTCCCTGAAATTGTAACAAATTCACACAATTCTCTTGCTCACTTGGAACCTATATTTTTCTATACAAGAAGAGAAACAAGAAATATCAGAAGACAGAGAACAATACGTAGAAGACTTATGGAAAGGGGAAGGGATAGATTTTTGTCCTGGTAAATCACAGAATCACAGAATGGTTTGGGTGGAAAGGGACCTTGCTGTTCCAGTCTTTGCCTTGGGCTGGTTGCCCCCCATCAACTCAGGCTTCCCAGGGCCCCATCCAGCCTGATATTGAGCAACTCCAGAGATGGAGCACCCAGAGGTGCACCTACAGAGCAACAATGCCAGCACCTCACCATCCTCTGAGTGAAGAATTTCTTCCTAACATCTAACCCAAATCTCCCCTCTTTTAATTTAAAACCACTCCTCCTTGTCCTATCACTATTAGACCATGATGGTGATGGGAAGAAGAAAGCCATTGCATTTGCCCAACTTAAAAATTAGTAGTTTTGAGTTTAAACCAAGCTAAGTCTGGATGCAAGGGAAGTATTTCTAGCACTGAAGCTGCTGATATGCTGGAACAAGCACCAAGAGAGAAGCTGTAACCATGCTGCTGGAGGTCTCTTTTCCAACCAGCATGACAACCATTAGCCTGAAGCAGCATGATTTGTTGCAAAGGTCTTCACAAGGTCCTGTCCATCTCCATATTCCCAAGTTGAGTCTACAGAGCTCAATGTGTTTTGGATATTGCAGAACTTGTGCAGCCCTGTAGGTTTGTGGTGGACCCAGAGAGGAACATCTCAGAAAACCTGCTTGGTTTGCAAGCCTCTCACCATGCAGAGCTTCTGTTGCAAGCATCATCCCTGTGTTAAGCATTCATGGGGTTTCTATAAAATCATTATCAAGAACATAAAAGACCCAGGCATGGAAAACCAGCTAGAGCTACTTCCAAGCATAAGGAGCCCATGGAAGCTGCCAGGAAAGGCACTTCAGGCAAACCCAGCACAGGAGGGCCCCAAGCTGCAGTGCGGGCACGGGGGGAGGCGGGATCCTTCAGGGAGTTTGGCAGCGCTCCGTTCTCCCTGGTGTGTGCAGAAGTTAGAGCATGGCTAATTACAGGAAATTAAAGAGAAAGAGATATAAAGAGATTGCCTGAGCTGTGAGAGCCCTGGGAAGGGCTGGCGGATGTCCCATGGTGCCGCCGCTGCAATTAGGCTCACAGAGCAGTGCTTGGAAGTGGGGCTGGAATGAAAAAACATGAAACTGTGTGGCAGGAAAAGGTTAATTATAACCCATTTGCTGCAGAATCTAATTTCTAGGTATCGAATATTTGGAGATTAGTAAGGCAGCAAGGCCAGGAAAGACACAGCAATCTAGGCTGGAGTGGCAGTGATGAGACACTGTGGCAGAATGGAGTTTGTCTTCAACCCAAGACAGCAGTAAAGGTGATCCTGCAAGGACTGCAGGAGGCTTCCGGTTAAACTAAATGTGCTAGATCAATGCTAGCCGTCAGAAAGCCACTGAAAGCTGGAATAAGTGCAGCAGGCTTGGCTGGATTTGTGGTGCAAATGCTTAGCTGGGCCAGAGATGCTCTTTGGGGTCAGGTCTTCGTGGGGTTCTCACTACACTGAGCAGAAGGGATATGGCTTGTTTTGGTGACACTGAGCATTAAAAACAAAATGCAGAGCAGGAAACAAACTCAGATCTTTATCATTTTCTAGCAACTCTTACATTAATCCAGATACCCCTCTGAAACTGCTCTTTCCAGCACTCTGGGTACTTTATTCTTGCAGAAGAGCAAAGATTTTGCATTTAGCCCTCTAAAGATGAGATAACACTGCTTTCAAATGGACACTGCTGAATGTCTCCTAGCTTCCACCATTCCTGTCACCCAGAAACACAGGATGAGTGCATTTCCACCATCTTGAAGCCTACAACAGATGATCCCTTCCCTCCACCCATACAGGCTCCATATCCAGAGTCACCAGGGGTTTTGTCCTACTAGTTTTCCTGAGGTATATTTCCGGAGCATCAGCGCTTTAAGGTTGGAAGATCACCTGTAGCAGCAGCCCCAGCATTCCTATACCCGTGGAGTAGTCATGGCAAGTTTTTAAGCATTCTAAGGAGGGGGAATGCAGAGGGAGGAGGCCCTTGTTTGCAGAGAAAGAAACAATAATTCCTTCAGCAGTTTGATGTTAAAAAAATAATAGAGGCTTGTAAGCTGCTCTGAAGCTTGAATGTCAGAAGTAGACCCTGGGGACATGGATTAGAGGGCACAATGAAGGTGAGGCTGTGAAATGAGCATCGTGGATCTTTGGGAGATTGTTAATAAGAACACAGAAATGCAAATCTCCAGGAGTTGGTGAGACATCAGCCTGCAGCTTTACAAATGCATGCGTGGTTCCTGTCAAAGCAAGGGAGATTCACAGAAGACTGGTGAAAGGCATGTGGCTGACTTGGTGCCTGCTACAGCACAGACCCCTTATCTCTACAGCGGGTGGCAAACAAGAGAACCAGCCAAGTACCTCTTCCCATGCAGAGTACATAATAAGGAACTGACCCTTCCTAAGTTTGGCTGGATTCATGGGCATCCCTGTTTGGGAGCATTCAGTCACCATATGTAACAGCTTAGAGATACCCTTGCACGTGGCTCCGAGCAAATGGCATGTAAATGAGAGAATCCTGACTGCATCTACAAATAATGGGTCTGGTATTCTCCCTTCTCAACCTTTTTATTTGGTTTTACATGGGAATCCAGCCCAAACTCTCTACAAACAAGAGGAGAAAGCTGAACAGAATATGGTGCACTGACTCCTCGCGCAGTAAAGCCTTCCCTTCACTGACTGTGAACTGGTGTTGCTCTTTTATTTCAGATTTAAAAGCTGAAAAGCAAACTCTAATTCCATCCTGCTCCCAGCTTTGTGCTGCTCATGAGGACAGTGAGTTATTACATGCATTTTTCACATAAAGATATGGAACTTTCTCATGAAAGTATCTTGTCAACTCAAGACTCAATGAGAAAGAACCAATATTTCCAGAACAAGATTCTTCTTGAAGGGTACAAAGTTTGGGCTCTGGGGGATCATTGGACAGAGGGTCATCCAGGACATCCTTAAGACCTGGGCCATGCTCAGAAGTGGCCCTGAGCCTGAAAAGAGCAGACATCTTCCCGAACAGCACTCAGTTCTTGCATACGACTTTCCATTTCTGCTCACTGATGTTGCCCTTGAACATTCTTCTCCCCCAAGAGCTGAATACAAGTCAGAAAGGAACAGCCAATGGACTCTAAATACATGATGCCCTCCAATATTTAGGCAAGGGTAGGAAATACAACCCCGGTCTCCTAAAACTCTTGCTTTTAGGCTACAGTTGATTTGAACTACCCTCATTTTACGGCCCCTCCATCCTACACCCTTTCCAGAGACCACAACCAACAGCAAGGAGAGGACGTGCCACTACAAAGGCACCACTGGGTGGGTTTCACATTGTGCCTCCAGAGCAGCAGAGATGCAGCAGACTTCCGCAGGCACATCCCCTCCTTCTTTCTCTTCTGAATCCTTTATTTTTTCCCCTTTCTCATTCTGTCTTTGCTTGCATTTCAAGGTTAAAAAAAGTCAGGATACAATAGTAAATATGTAAGATTAGCTCCTAAAATATGTTAGTAAGTGAAAGCTAAAGAAAGCCAAATGAATTTTAAAAAGGTTTTCTTGAAGCTTAGAACAGAGACAGCTCTTTTGATCCTTTATCACACAATAACAAAAAAAGCACCAAGCGAGATACATATATATAATATACATACCATATATATATTTATATACCCCATGTGCGTGGGTACGTGTGTGTGTGTGTGTGTGTGTGCATGCGTGTATTTTAATTCACACAGGCTTTCCTTTCTTTAAAATGCTGCAAGAAGCTTTTTTTTTTTTTTTTTTCTGCAGATTTCTTTTTCTTTCTTTTTTTTGATATTTCAAAGCTGGCAGTTCAGTAAATGGCTGGAACTGCCACATCTCTGTTCTTGCTAAAGAAATCAATGCTAATCCTATTACTGGCAGTTATCACCTATCCCAGAAACCGAGGCTAAAAGAAAAAAAAACCACTGAGATGTCAAAGTAGGAAAAAAGCATGGGGGAGGGGGAGAAAGCGCCCTTCATTCACTTTCAAACAGTGATTGTTTTCTTATTTTTGATCATTTTTTCCTGTTAAGAGAGAAACTAAACCACCAAAAAAAAGGAGAAAAAAAAGGAAGCCATCTGTGCTCGAATAACATGAAGGGCCTGAATTAAAGCCACGCACCCGCATGCAAACCAAGGGATGCTTTGGGGCTGGTGTTGTCACATCGGGGCAGGCAGCCCCTTTCTGGGGAGCACCCCAAAGAATCCAGCCAGATATCTGCATGAAACGTGGACTTATCACATCCCCTAATAGAAGCCATAGAATCATAGAGTCACAAGGTTGGACAGGACCTGCAAGATCATCTGGTCCAACCGTCCTCCCATTGCCCTTGCTATCACAAAAGCCAGGCTCTCGCCTTCACCTCTGCAGTCGATCTCAAGGCTGAGCCCCTCAGATGGCTTGGGTAGGTCACTGCAGCTCATACTTCAACATCTCTGTGGGATCTTGGCTGCTCCAAAGCTTCTTTCATCTTTGCTTCTCATCCTGAGCACTCCTCAAATACACTCACTTTGAGCATCCATGACGTATGGCTCAGCCAGCCAGGATGTCCCCAGTGCCGTCGTGATTCACCTGGTGAATCTCCTGTTTGCCCACTCAGTGCCTCCTAAGTTCAGTGGTCAGCCATCCTAGCTGGGAATTTTAGGGCTGGGACAATGCAGAGCAGCTGCAGGTTTGGAACCTGTGCTGCAGGAAGGGTGTCCAGCTTGTGTCCTTCAGCCCATGCCATCCTCCTCGCTGTCACATGCATGGAGATTTTGACCACTGGCAGGCTGGTACCTGGCACAGCTCATGGATAATGAACAAGAAAGGAGAGGACGAGCCAAGCAGCCATGAAAATAATAAAAATAAAAC